GAAAGGAAAGCCAGGGCTAACAGCAGAGAGGTTTCAGGCAGCTAGGGGAGGTGAACTTATATGTCGTTTTGTCATACTTTGGTGGCTTTCATGTTGCTACTAGTCTAGAGGCTGTGTCACCAGTGTTTCACATGCCAGCAGGGTTGAACGTGGTGCACAGGTTGTAGCGCAGCTTCCAGACTAAGACAGACTCAGAAGAAAGAAGAGGCCATCCACTTCTGAAAGAATTGGCCAGGGAAAACCTTATGAATAGCAGAGAAACACTGTCTCATGTATTATTGGACAACTTTATGAATAGCCTGGAAACATTGTCCGATACAGGGCTGGAAGACAAGTCTCTTAGGTCAGAGTGCTCTCAACATACAACTCAGAAAGATTTGCCTCATCAGAGTAGAACCAACCTTAATGATATGGATAAAGTAAGTCTTTCAGGACCTCCATTTCCTGATGTGGCACAACTCAAATGGCGGAGAAACAGCTGCAAGCATCCGTTAATAATTGGAACATGGGATGTACAAAGTATGAATCTAGGAAAATTGGAAGTTGTCAAAAATGAGATAGAATGCATTAAGATTGGTATTCTAGGCATTAGTGAGCTGAATTGGATCAGTTTTGGCTATTTTGAATCTCACAACCATATGATCTACTATGCCGGGAATGACAAATTGAAGAGGCAGGGCATGGCATTCATGATCAAAAAGAATGTTTCAAGATCTTTCCTAAAGTACAATGCTGTAAGTGATAGGATAATACACCTACAAGAAAGACTAATTAATACTACTACTATTCAAATTTAATGCACCAACCACCAAAGTGAAAGACGAGGAAATTAAAGATTTTTGTAAACTTCTGCAGTCTGAAATTGACCAAACATGCAATCAAGATGTGTTAATTAGCACTGGTGACTGGAATGCAAAAGTTGGAAACAAAGAAGAATCACCAGTAGTTGGAAAATTTGGTCTTGGTGATAGAAATAATGCTGGAGATCACATGATAGAATTTTGCAAGACCAATGAGTTATTCATTGCAAATACCTTCTTTCAGCAATACAAATGGCAGCTATACACGTGGACTTTGCCAGATGGAGTACACAAGGATAAGATTTACTACATCTGTGGCAGGAGGCGATGGAAAAGCTCAACATCTTCAGCTAAAAGAAGGCCAGGAGCTAATTGTGGAACAGACCATCAACTGCTCATATGCACAAGTCCATGAGAAACAAAATATGACCTTGAATATATCCCTATTGAATTTAGAGACCATCTGAAAAATAGATTTAATGCATTGAACACCAGTGACCAATAACCAGATGAATTGGAGGATGACATCAAGAATGTCAGCCATGTTATTAAAAAGACAGAAAAGGAAGAAAAGACCTAAAGGGATGTCAGAAGAGACTCTGAAACTTGCCCTTGAATGGAGAGTAGCCAAAGCAAATAGAAGAAATGACAAGATAAAAGAGATGCAGAGAAGATTTCAAAGAGCAGCTTGAAAAGACAAAGTCAATTATTATAATGAATGAAATGTCCAAAGACCTGGAGTTAGAAAACCAAAAGGAAAGAACACGGTCAGCATTTCTCAAGCTGAAAGAACTGAAGAAAAAATTTAAGCCTTAAGTTGCAATATTGAAAGATTCTGTGGGCAAAATATTGAATGATGCAGGAAACATCAAAAGAGGATGGAGAGAATACACAGATTCACTGTACCAAAAAGAATTGGTCGATGTTCATCCATTTCAGAAGGTGGCATATGATCAGGAACCAGTGGTTTTGAAGGAAGAAATTGAAGCTGCATTGAAAAAAGTGGTGAAAACCAAGGCTCTAGGAATTGTTGGAGTACCCATTGAGATGTTTTAACAAATGGATGCCACACTAAAGGCACTTACTCGACTATGCCAAGGGATTGGGAAGACAGCTACCTGGCAAACTGACTGAGAGAGATCCATATTTATACCCATTCCCAAAGAAAGGTGATCTCACAGAATGTGGAAATTACTGAACAGTATCACTAATATCACATGCAAATAAAATCTTACTGAAGATAGTTCAGAATTGTTTGCAGCAGTGTATTGACAGAGAACTTCCAGAAATGCAAGGTGGGTTCAGAACAGGACATGGAATGAGGGATTTCATTGCTGATCTCAGACGGATCTTGGCTCAAAGCAAAGAATACCAGAAAGATGTTTACTTGTGTTTTATTGACTATGCAAAACATTTGATTGTGTGGATCATCACAAATTGTTGAGTACATTGAGAAGATTGGGAATTCTGTAACACTTAATTGTACTCATGAGGAACCTGTACATAGACCCGGAGACTGTTATTCGAACAGAACAAGGGGCCACTGCATGGTTTAAAATCAAGAAGGTAGTGTATCGGCGTTATATCCTTTCACTGTACTTACTCAATCTATATGCTGAACAAATAATCCAAGAAGCTGGACTATATGAAGGAGAACGTAGCATCAGGATTGGAGGAAGAATCATTTACAACCTGTGATATGCTGATGACACAACTTTGCTGAAAGTGAGGATGACTTGAAGCACTTAACTGATGAAGATTGAAGAATACAGTCTGCAGTATGGATTACATCTCAATATAAAGAAAAAAAAATCTTCACGACTAAGAATGAGCATCATGATAAATGGAGAAAATATTGAAGTTGTCAAAGACTTCACGTTGCTTGGTTTTACAATCGACACCAGTGGAAGCAGTAGTCAGGACATCAGACAATGTATAGCACTAGCCAAATCAGTTGCAAAGGACCTCTTTCAAGTGCTGAAGAGCAAAGATGTCTCCTTGAGGACTAAGGTGTGCCTGACACAAGCCATGGTATTTTCAATTGCCTCACAGTATGTGAGAGCTGGACAGAGTATAAGGAAGACCAAAGAAGAATGGATGTTTTTGAGTTCTGGTGTTCGTGAAGAATACTGCAAGTACCATGGACTGCTAAAAGAACTTACAGATCTGTCCTGGAAGAAGTGCACCTGGAATGCTTCTTGGAAACAAGAATGGCCAGAGTTTGTCTCACCTACTTTAGTCATGGTGTGAGAAGTGACCATTCCCTGGAGAAGAATGTCATGTTTGGTAAGATGGAGTGTCGACAAAAGAGGGGAAGGTCCTCAAGGAGATGTCTTGACACAGGGGCTGTGGCTATGAACTCAAGTATAGCAGGAATAATGGAGCTGACGCAGGACCAGGCAGTGTTTCATTCTGCTGTGCATAGGGTCACTGAATAGGAGATGACTCGATGGCACCTAACAGAATTCATGTAATTTATCTTCTGCTGTTTGTGCATTTTGGATTATGATTGAGAGTCTATTTATGCCATATATTATTGTTGTTATGTGCCGTCGAGTCGGACCTGACTGATAGTGACCCCTCCTTGGGTTTCCGAGGTGGTATCACTGTGGAAGTAGATTGCCCAACCTGTCTTCTGAGGAGTAGCTGATGAGTTTGAACCGCCAGCCTTCTGGTTAGCAGTCAAGTTCCTTAGGCACTACGCCACCACAGCTCCCTATATTAGGGCCCCTAAATTTGCCTGTAGTTTTTCCTTGAGGAACTTTATAGTTTTACATTTCCCACTTAAGTCTTTGATCCATCTGGAGTTAGTTTTTGTGTTTGGTGTGAGGTATGGATCTTGTTTCATTTTTCTGCAAATGGATATCCAGTTTTGCCAGCACCGTGGTTAAACATCCAATCTCTTCTCCATTTAATGGATTTAGGCCCTTTGTCAAAGATCACCTGACAATAGGTTGATGGATTTATTTCTGGGTTCTCAATTCTATTCCATTGGTCTATGTGTCTTTCATTGTACCAATACCCGGCAGTTTTGATTACTGTGGCTATATAGTAAGTTTTGAGATCCGGGAGCGTGAGACCTCCTACCTTGTTCTTCTTCAGTAGTGCTTTGTTTATCCAACGTCTCTTTCCTTTCTATATATAAAGTTCGCAATTGGTTTTGCTATATCCTTAAAGAATATTGATGGGATCTGGATTGGGATTGCATTGAATGTATAGATTGCTTTGGGTGGATTTGACATTTTCACTATGTTCAATCTTCCTATCCATGAGAATGGGATATTCTTCCATTTATGTAGATCTCTTATGGTTTCTTGAAGTAGTTTTTTGTAGTTTTCTTTGTACAGGTCTTCTGTGTCCTTGGTAAGATTTATTCCTAAGTATTTTATTTTTAGGCACATAACGACAACAGCAACAACATTGTAAGTGGTATCCTTCAATAAAATAACCAAACTCACTGCTGTTGAGTCAGATCCAACTCCTGGCAACCCCTCCTGGGATTTCCGAGGCAGTTTAACTACAGAAGTAGATTGCGCAGTCTTCCTTCTGAGGGGTGGCTGGTGGGTTTGAACTGCCAGCCTTCTGGTTAGCATGCAAAATGCCTTAGGCACTATGCTAACTACTACTATTCTTTGATACTCGAACTGGGAAAGCTTGTGGGTATTTTATGTATTGGTAAAACTGAATTTAACTTCTCAAAAGGATCATTTTACCCACTGTGATGAAAATTTGTTTAGGATGAGGGTATAGGATATGGGAACAAGAACAGATTAGCTACAGGGAGACCAATTACAGTGCTTAAAATTGCAGTTCTTTTATTGTGACTCTGGTTCTCAATTTCTAATGAGTTAAAGATACCAGATTACTATTTTCTAAATAAATGGCCAAAGTGATTGTCATAGTTAGTGTGAAAAGGGAAGCATAATAGAGGAAAGAGAGCTCTGGTGGCATAGTGCCTAAGGAACTTGACTGCTAACCAGAAGGCTAGCAGTTCAAACCCACCAGCCACCCCTCAGAAGGAAGATTGGGCAGTATACTTCCATAGAGATACTGCCTCAGAATCCCAAGGAGGGGTTATTATTTTTTCTTTTTTTAAATAGAGGAAAAGCACTAATTTTTAAAATTATAATTGAGTGTTTAAGATCTTCCTGTTATAATTTAAAATATGGTTAATTGAAACTGTTCTTTCTATTCTTTAAGTATTGTAGCTTTTGATGAAATGATTGAACCATACAGACTTCATGAAGATGATAAAGAACAAGATATTGCAGATAAAATGAAAGATGATGAACCGTGGCTAATAACAGATAATGAGCTTGAACTTTATAAGACCAAGGTAGTCTTTCTGTTCTGCTTTCTATTGCTTAATATAACATGAGATTAAAAAGAAATAAAAACATATTTAAGACATAAGTAAACAACAAGAGCTTCAATTTAACATGAGAGGGAATAGTTATGTAATTTAAATCTATATTAAATTGAATTTATGTGTAGATAATGTAAAACATCTAATTTTTTTGAAAAACATGGAACAGATATTTTTTATTTTGCCAAAATTGATTATGTCTTCTTTTTACTCAAGTTTACTATTATGAATTATAATAGATTTTAATTTTCAAATGATCTAGGAATGACTTGGTCATATTTCATTTCAGACATACCGGCAGATCAGGTTAAATGAATTATTAAAAGAACATTCAAGCACCGCTAACATTATTGTCATGTAAGTAATATCTGTGCTAAGCTTTTCTTCGCTATTCATTTTATATTTTGATTGATTTCTATACTAGTTCCATATCTGTATAGAATCTATGATTCAGTAGTTGAAAAAATTTAGAGTCCGTTTTCCTTTAAGCATATGGAGAAATTATTTAAGGTAGGAGGGGAAAAAAAAACAAAAGCCTTTTACTCAGCCTTAAGCTTGCATGACTCTAATAGTTTCTAGTCATAGTAAGTTATTCTAGAATATTTCATTTTCTTTATTCCTTTTTCTCACTTTTTCAATATGTCACAGCTTTGAAGACACTATAGCATAGCCAATTCAGCATGTGTGGGGTGTGAGAGCTCCAAGGTAAAACTTGGACACCAGCAGCTTACTACCAGAAATAAACCCATAAAGTTATTTAGAGGATTGAATTTAAAAAGTGCTCCTAGTCCATGTCCTGGAGCTCTGGTAGCATAGTGGCTAAAGCACTTGACTTCTAACCAGAAGGCTGGCGGTTCAAACCCACCAGCCACTCCTCAGAAAGAAGGTTGGGCAATCCTACTTCCGTAGTGATACTGCCTCGAAAACCCAAGGAGGGGTCACTATGAGTCGGGGCTGACTCGATGGCACATAACAACAACAACAACAGTCCATATCCCACCCGCAAACTTCACATGCAGACACATTGTCCTTATTTCACATAGATGCTAATGGCTTCTTTGGCTTTTCCTCTGTCAAACCAGGTTAGCTAGCTATTACTTAAACCTGAATTGTCTCAGTTCTGGAAACTGATCCCTTAAATAAATGAAGAAAGCATAAACCTGTAAAAAAAAATGCCAAGTGATGAAGTTAAAATAATGTCAAAGGATTATTAATTTCATCAGCATCAACTTTAATACATGAGAAGATTTCAGGTTTTGCTGAAATGATGATAAAGTGTCTTTAATAGAAGAATAAAACATAGAAATTGAGGGCAACACTCTGCAGAGCAGCTGTTCACTACCACCATTATCTGTAAATAGAGATTAAAACTCAGATGTTTAAGAAAAATGAAAATTAATATGTAGAATTAATTATATTTGAATTTCAACTCATTCATGGGTCTTTTCCATGTCTACATTCAGATAGAAGTGTCCATTTCTCCTAAAAGAATTATTTCCTTATTGAGATAGGGGGGTTAAGTGTTAGGTACTAAATTTGTTACAGTGTATAGAAATACTTATTTGCTGTTGATATGAAAAACTTTTTTAAAATATTTTGTTTAAACTTGAAAAAATAGGAATAGTATGGGTGTAGTAGTGCTATTTTATATGCAGAATTTCCCTGAATTCAAAAGTATTCTGTAACTGTAGTGATTTTTAGTTACTATTATCATGACTTGAGCCCTGGTGGCACACTGCTTAAAGCACTTGGCTATGAACCAAAAAGTCATCTGTTTGAATCCACAAGCTGTTTAGGGGACAGAGATATGGTAGTTTGCTTCCATAAAGATTACAGTCTTAGAAACCCTATGGAGCAGTTCTACTCTGTCTTACAGAATTGCCATGAATTGGAGTCAACTTGATGGCAGTAGATTTGGTTATAATGACTTAAAATGTTTGCTTTTTATTACATTTTATTCTTCTCATTTTAAATGGGTTGCTTAATTTCATTTGTCTTTTTCATACCAGGAGTCTCCCAGTTGCACGAAAAGGTGCTGTGTCTAGTGCCCTCTACATGGCATGGTTAGAAGCCCTCTCTAAGGACCTACCACCAATCCTCCTGGTCCGCGGGAATCATCAGAGTGTCCTTACCTTCTACTCATAAATACCCTTTATACATGGACAGCCTAGTGCCTAGTGAAAACTGAAATCTTCAATGACATGTTAACATCATAATGGCGAACTGTGACTTTTCTTTTCACTATTTCATTGATTTGAAAGCACACAGGAAGTTGCTTCATTGATGTGTTTATGGAGACTTCAGTTTTAGTCAATTCCGTATCAATTTTAATGAATGAGGATTCCTTGTTGGACTGAAGTTCATGAGAGTAAAGTTTTCCTTTGCTACTTGAATAGCAATAAAAGTGTGTTATTTTTTTGATGGATGGAAGGAGTACAAAAAGCCTTTAGCCTTGAGGTGCCTTCTGAAATTAACCAAATTTCATCCATATATCCTCTTTTATAAATTTATACAATGTCAAACATTGCCTTCAGGTATTTTTGTTTCTAGTCTCTTTCACCTTAAAATAAAATAGATAACTACTTTTCTTTTCCACTGACCAATTAGTGTTGAGTACTGTATGTTTTCTGTTACATTTGTAAAGGTATCTGTTGGATGTTAAAGATGAGATTTAGGGCAATTAATGAAAAATGAAAAAAAAAAACAAACCCAAAAAGTGGCCTTGAAAGCTAGGTTTATATACGTATGTATAAATGTAGACCTAGGAAAAAAAGGCCCACCAGTATAACTTCTTATTTTTTTCCTCTCATTGGCTCTTATTTGTATCTTTTTTTTATAATTGTTTCTCAAAACATTAGGGAAGGTTGAAGAGGTATCCAGTATTTCTATATACCTTTCTGAGAAGAAAGTCACGTTACTCTTTGAACAAATCCTCAACGTCATTTGAATTTATTAGGAGAGGTGTATCCTAATTAAGAGTTTCCCTCACATCTAAGAGACTTTTAAGAAATGCTGACAGATTTTTCTAGAAGAAATTTAGACACAACAGCATCATTTAATAAACCTATTTCAATAAACACTAAATGGAATTTCACTATATTGTACCATCCTTTATAAATCATTAAAATTTTTTTTTTTTTTTAAATCAAATGGTTAAGTGGACCACTGATTTCTTAGTGAAATGTTTTTAGGCTTAATTCATTCAATTTTCAAGTACACTTAGTCTTAATATACTCAGGTTTGAACAGATTATTCTGAACATTTAAATTTAATCCATTCTTAATACTTTAAAACTTTTGTGTTAAGAAAAACTGCCAGTTTGTGCTTTTGAATTGTCTGTTTTGACATCATTGTCTACTAGTACAGTTTCAACAGTGCACATGCACTGTTACTACAAGCTTTATACACAGTTATTAATGTGAAGTTTTTCATTTTTTTATTCAAGGAAGGATTTCCTAAAAAACATTTCAAGGGATATATGTCTGCATATCTGTATTTGTGTGTGTATATAGGTGTATGCATACACAGATGCATTTGTGTATATATAATGAAATATATGTTGATTGTTTTTTGAAATTTAAAGTGATCAAGAATCATTAGATTAATTCAGTTTATTTTCACTTTTTGTTGGTAACCATATGCTCAAAATTACATTGACTAATGTAGGTTTCATGGAGAACACAGTTGATCATTTAAAGTACATGTTGTAACATCATACAGTTATCATTCAGGTAGAAAATGGAGAACATTTCATCTAAAGTCCTCCTCAGTGGGTTCTTTCGTGTGACTTTCAGTGGTAGAGGATTTATGCAGGTTTTCATGAATCTTGATAGAAATCTATACAATATATAATGATTTTATAGATTTATATAGTGCAGTATTTTTGCTGCATGAATGTGAAATTAATATAAAAATGAAGACCTGGTCATAATTTTCAAATCAGAATGTTAAGAAAATGAAGTAATAAGTATTTTTCAAAATGTTTTCCTATGTTGTAACTCACAGCATTGTTCCATTTATTGCAGGTTTTGCATCGTTTGGAGGTAAAAGACAGTAGAAATGTCATATTATTCAGTAAACATATATTTAATATCATGTTTGAAATTTTTAAAGGATAATAGGGCATGAGCTGAGTGCTGCTATCTTGAAATGTGTACAGGTACACTTAGTGTTTTTTGTTTTTGTCTTTTTTTTAAGTTCTGCCCATTGAGGAAAATATCATTGTGATCTATATACTACAGGAACCAAATGTGTGTCTCTACATACATGTGTATATAAAGTACATAAAATATATCTAAATATGCATAATGGGGGTAGGGTAATAATATTATCTGTGAAATAATGTAAGAAGCTTTTCGCTTTTTTAAAAAAAATAAATTACTTTCACTTAACATTAGATCATACCAGGTCAAAAATTTTCACAGTTGTTGTTGTGATCTAATAAATTTCAATAATTAGAATTGTTAGCTAGTTTGGAAGTTACTCTATTTATGCTGAAATTTGATTATTTTAATGCTTTTGTTGTTTTTGTTTCAATCATTAGTAATAGCTTAGAATTAAATAATTATGCAATGGCATTTGACAGTTCATTTTTCCTATAAGTAAAAATTTAGTGGGCTTAGAGAGAGTGAGTGGTGTTAAGCTGATTATTAACAGTTAATTAAATCAAATATTTATTTGTTACATATTTCATATTTGTATTTTAGGTTTTCTTTTTATATGCTTTCTGACATACGTATTTTTAAAGACTATGGATAATTTAAAGATATGAGCTGTGGTGGATGATTATCTACTAAGTTTGGAAATGTAATATTTTGATAATACTGTACTATAACTATCACACAAATGCTTTTCTAATGTTTTAATGTTGAGTATTGCAGTTGCTGCTTTGTACAGAGGTTACTGCAATAAAGGAAGTGAATTCAAATTATTCAGTGCCTAATGTTTTATCTATTTTATAAATTGATGTCAGCTTTGTGATTTTAACTTCAGTTAAATAACTTACTACTTTATTGGTCTAAGTATCTTTTATTGACTTTTACCTTAATCCTTCTGCCTTGGTAAACTTGTTTAGTTATTCACTACTCCTATACTTTTGGGATACTCACTATTGTTACTGACAGTCTGACAGAATCGTAGAAGGTACATCTCATTTAGATTAAAGTGACTTCCCTGTTGTGTCCTTCTTTATTTTGGGGTTAAACCCTCATTTATGAATGAGGAAACCAGAAGATTAAAGTGGATTCATAATCCCTAAATACAATCTATTCTTTTCTTTTTTTCCAAGATTTTGGGGTAAAATGAGAAACAGTTTTAGAAAGCATTTTCATTTGAAAATTACAACAATAAGTTTGTTATATCTTTAGGGCAGTTATGTATCTCTATTTTACTCTTGAGAAAGCAGCCTAGAGCAATTTAAGGAAGTTTCCTAAGGTCATGTGATACTTAATAAAAGAAGGATTTTGGGCTAGAGCCCAAGTCTTTGATCTGCAGGGATTTTTCCATTATGCATTCACTGCTTCCTCATCCATAAGTTAAAGGGCTAGAGTAGGTTGATCATTTCTAGACTACTTATTCCTGTCTACCTGGCAAGCATGTGTTCAGTTCATGACCTTAACTACTGTAAGTGTGCATTGTATGATCTTTGATTCTTGTTTATTCTCAAATTGACAGCCAATTTACTTACTTCTAAAGCTAAGAGAGAATACAAAGGCAACTAAGAATGTGGCATTTCCTAATAGACCATCCAACAGTTTTCAAAAGAGGAATGTTTCTCAAATTGGAGCTAGCAGTTTTATTCTTCTTTTCCTTGGAGAAAAAGAAAAAAAGACAAATATATTTGGTTAACTTTCTTCTTTATGTACAAATGGTAGCTCTGGTGGTATAGTGCCTAAGGCATTTGACTGCTAACCAGAAAGAAGGCTGGCAGTTAAAACCTACCAGCCACTTCTCAGAAGGAAGGTTGGGCAATCTACTTCTGTAGAGATACTGCCTCAGAAACCCAAGGAGAGATCTCTATGAGTCGGATCTGACTCCACGGCAGTAAGTTTGGTTTGGTTTGATGTCCAAACAGGATCTTTGTAGGATCAGAAAAAATAGATGGTAGTTGAATGCTTAACTGTTAAAGTCAAGGTATTACAAGTACTAGGATACATGTAACAGATTGTTTCACTAGTTCAGATAATAGATAATAGGATAAATAATGTTAGTGGGTTAAACAATCGGATAGATACTTTTTGTAGGCTAATAAAGTGCCTGCAAAAGGGGAAAAGAGGTGGCATCTCCTGACCTCCTCTAACTACACAAGAGGAAGACAGAATCACCATCAGCAGCCCAAGGCCTGTTCTTGTGAGGCCAGACATGCCACCACCCTCTGACCCTCTTACTAACCTTGACACCAACCATTCCTCCCACAGCACCCACCAACTCACTGATGGGTTCGATAATTCACTGCAGTGGCCACACACAACTCACAGGTTATGGAGTTTATTAAGGAAGCAACAACCAGCTACTCAGTTGCTCCCTGCAAAGTGAGAGTTACAAATACTATAGGTAGAAAAGAGCTCTGGTGGTGTAGTGCCTTAGGCTTTTGAATGCTAACCAGAAGCCTGGTGGTTCAAACCCACCAGCCACTCCTTGGAAGGAAGACTGGGCAATCTACTTCCATAAGAGATACTGCCTCAGAAACCCAACGAGGGATCACTATGAGTTGAGTTGACTCGATGGCAGTAAGTTTGGTTTTTTGGTTTAATGCCTAAAGTTCTTAAAGTACCTAACAAAATGTGAGTGACTGAATATGTCATCTCCTGTTATGCAGCCTTACTTGTGGTGGGTGACCTCACAGATGAGAACCGTTCCCAAAATTGATAGTGTCAACACATAAGCTATGTTCCACTATCCTAGGATATGACTACAAATTACCAAAATACTCTGCTCATAGCCATAAATGAAAATAGACTTACCTTTCTGATCCATACGATAGGATCAATATTCTATGAATGTTTTTGTTTTTAGGTGCCATCAAGTCAGCTCCAACTCATAGCAACCGTATGTACAAGAGAACGAAACACTGACCCAGTCTTGTGCCAATCCTACAATCACTGCTATGCCTCAGTACATTGTTGTAGCCACTGTGTCAATCCATCTTGTAGAGGGCCTTCCCCTTTTTCCCTGACACTCCACTTTACCAAGCGTGAATATTTAATGCAAAAACAGGCACCTGATGCAGTTCTTGTCAGAATTTCATCAGAATACTACTGAAGCCTTTAGGGTGGAGAATTGTGGTGTTTTTGTCCTGAAAGAGATAATTTAGTCTAAAGAAGCTAAGCAGTTTATAGAATGATTTTATATGCAACTTTTACATTTTTAATAACAGATACACCAGAGAAACAAGTTTTACAGTAAAGCAGGCTGTGTTACGTTTTTGATCCATTGAATGTACTTTGAAAATATAAAGTCACTTAACTCCTGCAACAAAAAACTCAAAGTGACCCTTCACTCGGTTTCCAAGGTCATTAATCTTTACAGAAGTAGATTGCGTAGTCTTCCTACCACAGAGCAGCTGGTGGCTTTGAACCGCCAACCGGGTTAGCAGCTAAATGCCTTACCTACTACACCACCAGAGCTCTCCTTTATATTCTAATTAAAATGGAGCCCAAATTAATCCATTTTGAAAGAAGGTAGTCAATTTGAAAAGGGTCTGTCTATAGCAGTTTATCAACGACCAGTAAGTCACAGTTTATTATTAAGTCTACAACATTTTTTAATTAAGTCATTGAAACTCTTCTTTGACTTCGTAAGAAATAGCGGCCAGTTTGGGTGTGGTGGGGAGAGTGTAGGTTTGGAAAGTTGTGCTCCAAGAAGAGGTTCGTGGATTATGAAAGATGTACCTCTGTTAGGAAAAGTCTGGCAGTCACGTTTCCTTGTGGGAAATAGGGATTAGTGAAGGGAAGTCAATTTCTTTCAGAATTTTAAATTTCTTGATTAATTCAGCACCTCCATCTTGCAGATAGTCCATTTATTCCTCTACAGTTTTCCATGATTAATGATAATCTTATGTTTACTCTCCATGCACCTATGAATTTTGCATTATTGACATAAATTTCACACTTGGACTTTTTCAGAAGATTGATAGTAAGGAAGCACAGGTGTGTTATGTACTGAAACAGCTACTAGAGCAATGTTTCCAAAACTTCAGCATGCATCAGAATCACCTGGAGGACTTGTTAAAACACTTACTCTTGCTAAACAATCTGTTCTAGAGTGAAATTGTTCCTGCTGCTTCTCAATACTGCCCTTCTTTATGGTTGTCTTTGGTGGCTCAAAGGTTAAAGCATTTGGCTGCTAACTAAAAGGTTAGTGGTTCCAACCCATTAGCTGCTTGGTGGGAGAAAGATGAAGCAGTGTGCTTTCAGAAAATTTACAGCCTTGGAAACCCTATGGAGCAGTTCTACTCTGTCCTATATGGTAGCAACCCATATGAGTTGAAGTCAAATGTCAGTGGGTTTCGGTTTGGATTTTGTCATTTACCATGCCTTAGCAATTGAATTTATCCTGTGGAACACCAGTATCCATATCTCCCCTTAAGCTATAATTGAAAATAATTACCTTGAGTTGTCTCTTAGGACCCCTAGTAGTGCCGTGCACTTGGCTGCTAACTGATAGGTCAGTGACTGAAAGCCACCAGCCACTCTGCAAAAGATGAGGCAGTCTGCTTCCATAAAGGTTTACAGCCTTGAAAACCCTATGAGGTGGTTCCATTCTGTCCTATAGGGTCACTATGAGTAGAAACTAATACAGTGGGCTTTTAAGTAACTCCACCAGCCT